CTAGCTATTGGGGGGGGGGGACGTGCAGATCTGTCTTCCCAGACGAGGGAGAGCTTGTACCTGAACAAAACTTAGTCTTAAAGGTACCACTGGACTGTTTTGGACTGGGGGGCCGGGGGGAGTCTGCAACTCACCTGGCTGCTTCTTGCTCTGACTGAGGGCTGCTGGGAGCAGGGGGTGGGACTTGTTGCATGTGCCTGCCCCCTGTGCTCTTTACTGCAGGAGCTCCGCTCCTGTGCACTCTTGCAGGAAATGACCCCTGCAAATAACACCCACCAAGGGAAGACCATCAACAATTCACAGCTGTATATGATCAAAACTGTATATTACATTCATTAAAGTGCAAAGATGGGTTAGTGGTCATAACCCAGTAGAATGTATAAACACATTAGAATGTATAAACACATATCCAACAGATTGCTCATAACAATTAAGCATTATTTACAACAAAAAGAACATGTTCAAAACCTACAGTAGGCTCCTCTGCAATTTTGTACATAGATAGTGTCCATAGACCTCCAAACAGAAAGTAACTGTGGCAGAAGACGCCCACTGTGGAAACTGTGGAAAGAATAAAACAGAACCCGATTTCCAAAACAACATAGGCACAGCTCAATACCTTCAATGGAATCCTAGGGTTCTCTCCGGGTGGCACCTGGAGATCTCCCGTTATTACAACTGATCTCCAGACAACCAAGATCAGTTTCCTGGAGAAAATGTATTATTTATGTATTTATTTATTTATTTTTCATATTTGTATCCCGCCCTCCCCAATGGGCTCAGGGCGGCTAACAAGGGCAAGGTCATTTGCCATGCCATAGGTAAAAACATATAAAACATAGTAAAACATCCAACACTAAAACCACAGTACTCCATCCATTACTAATGTGGACTCCATAGCATTGTACCCTGCTGATGTCCTTCCCCTCCCAAGGCTCCAACCCTAAAATCTCCAGGTATTTCCCAACCCAGACCTGGCAACCTTACCTCCAAAGCCGCCATTTTCTCCAGGGGGACTGGGAGTTATGTAGTCAGGAGAACGCCACTTGGAAGCTGGCAACCCAGGGAGGGAAGAGGAAATCAATGGGTAAATGGACAGTAATGGAAAAATTCCTCAGATAGGGCTCGGACATCAATAGTGCTAGGTGGATAGAATTCAAGTGCCCATAGAGAAGCAGAATTAAGCTAGGTATCCTGTGACAGGCAGGTTATATTACCTCAGAGAAATAGTGTATTGGTGACTTGTGCAGGGATTGAGGGGGAAATCCTGAGGAATAAGCTAGCACTGTTTCAGGAGTCTGAAATTCCTGGGTTTAGTGAGCAATTCCAAGTAAAACCTATCCATCTCTCTCTCCAACAGAAACAACTTGTCATTTTTATAACCCTGACTGTGTGATATTGTAACCCTTCTAAAGCGGAGCTTCGGCTCCCTTTAGCTGTAAATAATTAGTACATTGGAACACCCCTGTACTTACCAGTCACTCTTCATAAGCTCTTCTAAGGAGAGGACAATAAATTTATTTTTGTGTTGTTGAAAGAGGGTGGCGGTGTGAATAACTCCAGGAAAGGGGAGTGGGGAAAGGAGTAGACATCACCTCAGGTACCTGTGCTATCCCTCCCCCCATATCCCATCTGTAACTAACGCACGTTATCCAGCAGATTTATTTTTATACGTAGCCCAACTGACCACTCACAAACATGCCATAACTGAAACTGCTTGGTCACTGCTACTGGGGGTGTACTGGATGGGGGAAACTGAGGCAGCGCCCTGCCATGACAACCACATATAGATTTCTCCAGCAGGGCAAATAGCACCACCCCAAGGACATTTCAGGTTAGAAACATGGGGGGGGTGTGCTGAAGCCCCTTCTCCCTGAGCACTGTGGTCCTGATTTGTATCAGACCCACATGTTATTTGCCCCACTGGAGTGATGCAAATACCGGGAGATTTTGTGGGTGGAGTTTGGGGAGGATCTGCCATTGATTCCAGATGACACTTCAGGAATTGTCCCTGATCTCTAGAGTAAAGGCCACAGAGTCACAGGGAGATTCCTAGAATGTCACTATGGAGGCCATTTTCGGCCTTTTTTCCTTACTCCTTAGTTTCTTATGGGTGCAGGATTGGGGCTGAAGGGTGGGTGTTTATCCACCACAGGCAGGCAAAAGGCAAGCCAAGTGGGAGGACTGAAATGCCTGCAGCAGTCCGGATCCAAGGAACAAGTACATCAGGTTGGGGGAAAATATGTAAAATCTAGTTTGGACCCAAGTCAATCTGATTACTGGAAACATCTAAACATATGTAAATTTCTCTCCCCCACACAGGGGCTCAGAAATATGTCCCAAACTGGCTACATAGCTGGATTTAGATGTTAAAAACAAGCTTATGGTTTGTCATGCCCCGCCTACCTCACAGGGTGTCTGTTGTGGGGAGGGGAGGGGAAAGGAGATTGTAAACTGCTCTGAGACTCCTTTGGGTAGTGAAGGGCGGGGTATAAATCCAATCTCTTCTCCTTCTTTTTCATTGCGAGAACAAATCTTGATGCCCTGATCTCTCTCCCTCTTGCTGTTTCTGGGAAGACCACTCCACAGGACAAAACATCTGGCACTATGGACTCTTGCTTGTCATGACCAACTCTTGATCATTAGAAGGAATTTTGGGAGCCAAGCTTGGGGGGAAAGCAGAATGTAAATACAACTGCTTGGATCCTAAGATGCTGTTCCATTGGTACCACAGCGTTTCTTCCAGTGGAACATCTTTTCCGTCTGCAGCAGGGGGTGGGCAATTTTTGCTGATTCCCCTGGTGCAGTCACCATTTGCTGCCCACACTGTTCATTCATGTGCATTGACCTGCTAGAGCACATGAATTTTGTGGGAGACAATTTGGGGGGGGCAGAAAAAGAGGGGAGATGGCAAAACTCTAGTGAAACTCCGTTCACATGGCTTAAGACTGAAGATGGATTCAGGTGGGTAGCTGTGTTGGTCAGAAACAACAGAACAAAATTTGAGTTCAGTGGCACCTTTAAGACCAACTAAGTTTTGTTCAAGGTATGAGCTTTCATGTGAATGCACACTTCTTCAGATACATTGATATGGAAATTACCACTCCATACATATAGGTAGAGGGTGAGCAGCAAATTAGCATACAGCATAATGAAGGTGTTTAACCAGATGCGAGGACCAAACAGGAACAACAAGCTTATAGTTTATATGGTCACCATTTGTTTGGGTTTAATTCTGGCGGAAAACATAGTGAAGGAAATAAATATATCAAAAGTGGAAGTTGATGTGTAAATGTACCCTTCTTAATTGTGGAAGGCTGAGAGTAATTAACCGGGACCCTGTTGTTAAGCTCCATCTGTCTCAGTTAACCCTCTGTGGGTTGGGAGCAGCTTCGAGTGGATGATTTTGAGCAGACAGATGGGAGGTTAACAACACCCTCCCCCACACTCACCATTTCTCCACTGAATCTGGCAGCCTTTTATAGCATTGGGGGGGGGGATTGGAAGGGGAGGCACATCAAGTCTGTAAGCCAATTACTGAGGTACAGTTTACTTATGGCACTTGAGAAATAACATAGAAATGTGTATTGCTTGGCTCATTAGATTGTATGGGTGCGCTGAGTTCGGGAGGGTTGCATGCTGAAAGTCGTTACTGGGCCTAAAGAAACCATGTTTTTGCCTTTTGACTTCTTTTCCGTATGAACCAAAAAAAAGTCGTAAGGCTGCCCGTGCATCTCCGCATATCATCGAGTTTGGCCTTAAGAGCTGGGAAGGATTGGCAATCATTTTGACAGAGTGGAAGGAAAATCCAGGATTCAAGCACAAGCAGAGTAGTGATTGATCGGTAGTATGAAATCAACATGAAACTATTTTCTGCAAAGATATGCTGAACGCTTCTCCCTGGGGGGGAAAGTCTTGTTAAAATTGTTTCCAAAGACAATGGAAGGAGGTTGAGATTCATTTTCCTTGTCTTAAAAAAATACTTTGATGATTATGAGTGTCAAGTACAGGCATTTCCATTATTTTGCAACTGGAGATCACTTTGTACCAGTTTATTCTAAGAAAAAAAGGTTTTCCTTTAGGAAACGTTGCAGCCTTCCCATCTTTCTGGCACACTATAATTTCCCTCAACGTGGAAGGGAGGACATTTAGAAACGATCCCTTCCCCCCTTTCAAAATAAGTCCCCTATTCAAAACATTCTCAGTCCAAAAAAAAAATAGGGTCGTCGGGTCCCCCCCAGCCACCAGCAGGGGAGGGGGGGGTAGGGTTGCCAGATTCAGGTTGGGAAACTCCTGGAGATATAAGGATGGAGGCTGGGGAGGACAAGGACCTCAGTGGGGTACGATGTCACAGATGCCACCCTCCAAAGCATTCATTTTCTCCAGGGGAACAGATCTCTGTTGTCTGGAGATTAGCTGTAATTTCAGGGGATCCTCAGGTCCCACCTGGAGGCTGGCATCCTTAGATAGTAAAGACAGTGCAGTCTGTGATGTTCCTAATGCAGCAATGGACATGTTCTTATCTTGGGGAAAAATGGACCGTACCTGGGTTTACATTGAGAGCGAGATTTACCAGAGTTCAGCCCCAGATCCTATTGTCCAGAGCCAAAGATCTGTCCCGGAATGTGGCCAAATATTTCTTCCCGACCCCACACTTCTGAGGTACACAGGCGCAGTTCTTAGCAAGGCTGCCAAATTTGGCTTAAGAAATTCCTGGAAATTTGGGGACAGAGCCTGGGAAGCGTTGAGTTTGAGGAGGGATCTCTGCAGGGATGTGGTTCCACAAAGATTGCCCTCCAAACTGGCCATTTCCTCCAGGGGAACTGATCTCTGTAGTCTGTAGATCAGTTGTAATTCCAGGATAATTCCAGGCCCCACCTTCAGGATGGCAACTCTAGTTTCTTGGATAAAACAATGCGACTTTCAAGCTAGGTGTCTGCCTTGGACGTCTCGTTTTAAGTACTGGCCCTCACCTTTCTGTTTTCTGTTCTCCCTTGCAGCCTGCCTCCAGCATCAGAACTGTGAAGTCTGTGTGACATCGGACCTAACCTTTAACTGCAGTTGGTGTCATGTCCTGCAAAGGTAATGCACATCCGTGCAGGGACGGAATATATGGTCAGCCCTCGATCGAATCACATTCGCCTTCTCTGACCTTGTTCTGTTCCTTCACTGAGGCCAGCTGTAGCATTTTTGCACATTTGTGATAGAACATAAGACGGTAGCAAAGATTTTTGAACCGGATGAGACAGTGTTTTCCTTTCTGCATCTCTCAGGATGAGTGAAGGTCAAGAAAGGTATATGAGTACATGTATTTTGTAGCTCCTGAGAGGTAACCATGTTAGCCAGTTGTACCCAATATAATCTGGAGTCTTGTGGTGAGTGTAAGGTTAACAGTCTGGTGTAAGTTTTCATGACCTGGGGTGCACTTCATCAGATTTGTGTGTCTATCCACGTAGCTAGGCATTTTCATTCCATATATATGAAAAAGCTGTAAACTGCAGGTCGAAGGCCATGAGATATACGAAGTTCAAGAAATGGTGTAAGATTAAAATGTAAAGCAAATATAAAAGCGCCCTGACCTGGATATCCACGCACCCAGCAGAGGTCGCCAGAAGTCCCGATGACTTCCAGGCAAGCACACAAAACACACGCGCACACACAAAAAAAATATTTTTAAAAAGAAAGAAAATATAAAGGCTATTCAGAATTGTGGTTAACTGATAACTAGTTAAAATTTCTCTAGTTTTGCTGAGCTAGTTACCCCTTGCTATGGCTAAGCAATCCCAGACCACTGCAAAAGCAGGCACAACTTTTACAGAGACCCATAAGCAAGGCTGCCAACTCTGGGTTGGGAAATTCTTGCAGATTTGGGTGTGGAGTCTAGGGAGGCAGGGTTTGGGGAGGGAACAGATCTCAGTGGGGCATAGTGCCATAGAGCTGATCCTCCGAAGCGAAGCAGCTGTTTTCTGCAGAGGCTGGATAGCCCAGGCAAACTCGATCTCCTCAGATCTCAGAAGCTAAGCAGGTACTTGGAAGGGTGACCTCCAAGGAATATCAGAGGTGGTACGCAGAGGCAGGCTACTCAAGCCGCCTCTCTGAAAAACATCCAAGCCCCCAGCAGAGGTCGCCAGAAGTCCCCATGACTTCCAGGCAAGTACACAAAACACACGCGCGCACACACAAAAAATATTTTTAAAAAGAAAGAAAATATAAAGGCTATTCAGAATTGTGGTTAACTGATAACTAGTTAAAATTTCTCTAGTTTTGCTGAGCTAGTTACCCCTTGCTATGGCTAAGCAATCCCAGACCACTGCAAAAGCAGGCACAACTTTTACAGAGACCCATAAGCAAGGCTGCCAACTCTGGGTTGGGAAATTCTTGCAGATTTGGGTGTGGAGTCTAGGGAGGCGGGGTTTGGGGAGGGAACAGATCTCAGTGGGGCATAATGCCATAGAGCTGATCCTCCGAAGCGAAGCAGCTTTTTTCTGCAGAGGAACTGATCTCTGTCGTCTGGACTAGAGATTACCTCTAATTCTGGGGAGATCTTTGAGCCCCACCGGGAGGTTGGCAGCTTTAAGAAATTGGGAAATCCAAATTTCCCAGTTCTGGGAGCCACTGTTGCAACCAGAAGGAATTCCATCTTGGTCTGGAAGGGTGGTTTTACTTGATTTACAGTGTAACACTAAACAGAGGTACACCCTTCCAAATCAACCGCAATCAATAGGCTTAGAAGGCTAAAACTCAGCTTAAGACCAATGCTCCCACTAGGTTGTGGAGTCTTGTGAAGCAAAAATTCTACTTTGTGAGCTACTGGCATTAAAATTGTAAGAAGAAGAAGAAGAGAAGAGATTGGATTTATACCCTGCCCTTCACTACCCAAAGGTGTCTCAGAGCGGCTTACAAACTCCTTTCCCTTCCCCTCCCCACAAGCGAGCCATTTGGCTGCTGCATAAATTAGTTTGCTCTGGAGCCCTCCTTCCTGAACTAAGACAAAAATCTGTGAACTGGAGGCTAAGAAACTGTGAGCTAGCTCACACTAACTCAGCTTAGAGGGAACACTGCTTAAGACTAAGCTGCTAATAAAATAAAAGGCTTTTTTGGTGTGAATTCCTTATGAGTCATGTCCTTGTAAATTGGCCAAAGGCGCCCCTATTCCATTCTTTTTAAGCAAGCAGATGGAGGGTTCCCTACATGTGCTCAGATAGTGAAGCATCATGCTACTATAACTTAATAATTTGTTCCCCACCATTGACTTGGAAAAAATGCAGTCCCACCATCTGCACACAGCTGATGGTGCCCAAAGATCAACTGTTTGCTACGTGGCCAGGAATCAAGTCTTCATATTCCAGCTTTTTAATCTCCAAGATGTCCGGCTAGCCCAAATTCCAAGTCTCTTAGAACTAGCAATATTTGATTGCCGTTTTTTTAAAAAAAAGATTATTCTCCTCTACTTCTGGGGGAGAAACGCAAATGGCTACAAGCTGGAAAGTTTATACATTTCCCTTTGTGCAGCACCCAAAGGATAAACATTATTATTTATTTTAATTTTTTTTAAACCCCACCCTTTCTCCAAGGAGTTCAGAGAATCAGCTTGTGCAGAGATAAGCAGACAGATAGATCAATGCTGTTCTCCAAGCTTTCTGTCCTTGCTAGAAAACGATAATCAGCTCCTCCTTTCCAACGCACTCACACAATCGCAACCAGCTAGAAAGAACATTTAGATTCTTCCGGCCCAGCTGTGTTGGAAGAAATCCCCCAGTTCCTTAGGGGAAGTCTTTTTCGGTCGCTCATTTGTTACATCTATTCATCCGCATATCTGGTGCACAACGCCCATCTGGGACTTCAGATTATAAAATCATACACTTAAAAATAACCCAGCTCTCCCACATAGCATAAGGCCAGATGATCTGTTGCTAGCTTGGTACGCAAGCATTTTGAAGCAAAGGTCCTCAAACTCAGAATGAGAGCTCGTGGATTCTACAACTTGGGTGTGGCTTCCCAAAGAAGACTGGGAAACTCTGGTTTGGTTTGCTTGGGCATCTGCTATCAGATGACCTTCAGAAAGCTATACTTTGTGGGTTCCCCAAAGAGAACTTCATCCGTTCCCATCTTGAAAGCTATTTGGGTTTCGGGTTGTGTGAAGCAACTAAGGAACTCTAAGCACATCTGTTCTGGGAAAGAGTACTGTTCCCAAATATCTTCTTTCTGCACTACGTGTTCTTCCATTTTCCTTGCTTAAATACAGCAACACACATTCAAGAAAGCTCCTGTGCAGCCCTGGGACCCAATTTTATCACCCTTCCAAAATTTATTACTCCCTGGTTCATTGAGAGATAGCAGGGCGGTGGAATTGTCAACACACGGGTTTGTTTTTGCAAAGTCCATGCATACTTCCCTTTCTCCATAGGTGTTCCAGTGGATTTGATCGATACCGTGAAGAGTGGTTGACATATGACTGTGCCCGAGAGGTGAGGTTATAATTAAGGAAATGGGAAGCATGAAAAATGACTATGCAGCCCTGGCTCAGTGCTTAACCACGAGTCCCTCCTCTGCCTCTTTCACGATATGGTTACTAAAGAGCAACTCATACTTTTTTAAAGCAGAGGGTAGATATAGACTAGGCCTGACCTGGATGGCCTAGGCTAACCCCAGCTCATTGGACTTCAGAAGCTAAGTAGAGTTGGCCCTGGTCAGGCCCATAGCTACAGTGGGGGATTTTGGGGCCCTGCCCCCTGACTTCCTTTCAGCCCAGGCCCCCTGACTCTCTGGCAGGATGTAGTAGCTGCCGCAAACTCCCCCTGCCCCACCTGGGCCACCAGTTCTCCTTGCCTTCCCCCTTTCTCTGGGCTAGTCCCCACTCCCCACCCCCACTTCTGTGACTCACCATGACTCCATCCCATCTCAGAGGCTGGGGAGCAGCCTGGGGGCTTGGAGCTGCACAAAGAGAGAGAAAAGCTGGGCCAGTGCTCTTTTTATAAGCCCTGGCCCACCGCGGTCCAGGAAGCAGCGGTCTGACTGAGCCCCTCCCAGCCTAGTCCCCACAGCTGCCAGCTAACTCCTCCAGAGCATCTTTTCTGCATTGGGGGAAGGTGAGCAGGCAGGCCGGCAGCTGGGGTAGGTGGAGGGGAGTGCCAGGGAGGAGGCACGAGATAAGCAAGCTCAAGGCAGGCAGAGCTGACAGCCAGGTGGAGGCCACCGCCACTGCACCCAAGAGCACCGAGAAGCTGATAATTAAATTACTTTTAATCAAGTTAGCCAGTGCCCCCTGAGGAATTAAAATGCCCCTAGAAATTCCTGGCTACAGCCCTGGCCTTGATTCATATTTGGACAGGCAGGGCTATTTTTGGGCAGGAGTGCACAGGAACGGAGTTCTGGCTGGCTTCAGAGTTGGCCATGCCCACTACAGCCAAAACCTCTGCATGCGTGGCTACAGAGGGAAAGCCTGGAGAGCGATTCCCCCCCCCCGGCAAATCCAAGGGGGGCCCTGGAAGGATCTGGGAGGCATTTAAATGCCTCCCCGTGCCTTCCCCAGCCTGTCCAAGGGCCGGCTTGTCCAGGCTCTCCGCAGCTGCGGGGTGCCCGGGCAAGCCAAGGGAACGTAGTTTAAACTGCCTTCCCTTTCCTTCAGGGGGGGGGGGCTTGCCCAGGCTCCCTGCAGCCGCGGGGCGCCTGGGCAAGCCAAGGGAAGGCATGGGGTGTGGCTTAATATGCTAATGCACTGCACTGTCTGGGTGTGGCCTGATATGCTAATGAGTTTCTCCCATTGGGTGTGGCCTATTATGCTAATGAGTTCCTGCTGGGCTTTTTCTACAAAAAAATCCCTGTGGACAGGAGACCACCAAGGAAATTCAGGATTGCTGTACAGAGTCAGGCAATGGCAAACAACCTCTGAACATCTCTTGCCTTGAAAACCCTGCACGGTTGCCATAATTCAACTGCAACTTGGCAGCACTTTCTACTGTCACCAGATGCAGACTATTAACATTTTATTTCATTTATTTATGTCATTTATAGTCTGCCTTTCTCACTGGGACTCAAATTGGATTACACAGTATAAATTAATACCGTCAACAGGACGAGACATCAGTAAACAATGCAATAGGATTTGGATTGCAGAAATCTGGAACCAAGCAGAAATCTGCACAGAGCCGAGACAAAGCATATGCATTAACATGGCACATTAAATTATGCAGAAATTACACACTTGGAACCTACTTACAGAAAGAGACAGCATGAGCGATACACAATAGTATAGTCCACAGTCCCTGACGCTTTACCCAAGTAACTTTCTGAACCATTTCGTTAGAGCACAAGGTCTCCTGAATAATACTGTTTTGAACAGAAAATGTAGGGTGTGCATGTTTGCATTTTTAAAATACACAGAAGGAATAAATACAACAGAAGAGGGAACTATGAACACATGCGCAGGGAAAACAAGGTGAGTGAAAAGTACGGTCAACAATTAAGACATTGGGACAGCGGCAGTTAATCTGACAGGCATATAACGCCCCCTGTTCACAACCTGTGAGAAGTCTGTGTGTGAAAGAAAAGTACTAGGTCTGGTTCAAATTCCTGAGTTTGAGGGGAAAATAAAAACAACAGAATGATATAAGATAAGCAAGAGAGAAGAACGGAAATAATACAATTGGAGAAAGATGGAGAGTGCACGACTGTAAAAGGAAAAATATAGCAGCATTTTAAATCTAAGAAATAAAGTAAGAGAAGAAAATGAAACAGTGGAAGTTTGGAAACAGTGGGTGAGACGGCCGAGTTAAGAGACCAGCAACAAAAAATAAATTTTAGGAGCCGCTTTAAATACAGTGTCAGCTCATATTTCAAGGCAGAGTTTGGGTTTTTGTCCCCCCCCCCAGCTGTTTTTAAGATGCACTTTGGTTTCTTAGGCTGTCCACAGGATCCCATCCCTGTCATCAGCTGAAAATATTGTTCTTGATTGCAAGAGAGGAGGCAGTCTTTCAGTGGGCCTTTGAAACACAGCAAGCCTTTATTGCGACATAATATGTCTGAAGACTCCACTGAGTAAAAAGAGCCTGTCAGAAGTAACTACAGGAGTTCCAAAGGTCCAAAAACCCCTGCCTCTTAGTAGACACGTCGCAGGCAGTGGCTAGAAAGGTTAAGAACATAAGAACATAAGAGACGCCTATGTTGGATCAGGCCAAAGGCCCATCCAGTCCAACACTCTGTGTCACACAGTGGCCAGAAATATCAGTGCCATCAGGAGGTCCAGCAGTGGTTCTCTAATGGCTGCCACCACTCTGGTATGGGTCTCCTTGGGGGCGCCCAGAGCACCCCTTTATATGCTCTTTTCCAACAGGTTTCCCCTTATAAGCAGGGCTATTTTTGGGCAGGAACGCACAGGAACGGAGTTCCGGCTGGCTCCTGAGTTGGCAACACCCAGCAGGAACTCATTAGCATAATAGGCCACACCCAACAGCAGAAACTCATTAGGATTGGCTACAGTAGGCATGTGTGACCTAACATGCAAAGGAGTCCCTGCTACAAAAAAAGGTAACAAACAGCAGAAACTCATTAGGATTGGCTACAGTAGGCGTGTGTGGCCTAACATGCAAAGGAGTCCCTGCTACAAAAAAAAGGCAAGAAACAAGGTAAACAGAATAAGAAGCAAAAGGTGGGTGTGGCTGGATGACCACACTTCTGGCAACACAGGGCTGCGGCCTAATATGCTAATGAGCTGTGCTGTCAGGATAGAAACCATAGAGTTTTCCCTTGTATGGCCGTGGCCCCGCCCGTAGCTTGCCCGGCATCATAACGTCACTTTCCTGTGACGTGCATGCTGGGGCGGGGTTCCCCCCAGGGCCTGATTCACCAGCGTCGGGGAATGGGCCTCTGGGGTGGGGGGTTTCCGCCCCCTGGAGGGACTTGGCAGCCCTATGTCAGGGTGTGGCCTAATATGCTAATGTGTTTCGGTTGTTGGGTGTGGCCTATTATGCTAATGAGTTCCTGCTGGGCTTTTTCTACAAAAAAAGCCCTGCTTATAAGTGACCGAATGATATGTGAGGATCCAGGCAGAGTAACAACCTAGTTTTATTAAAGAGATTTAATAACAACTGTAGTTCAAAAACATGTAAGAAAAATGAGCACGGTAAAGATAGGTAAACCAGCAAAATAACAAATCCTAATGCATCTGACTATACTGTCCTAGCCTTCTCTAGGCACGTGGTCTCAGACTGACATCACCCTTTTGGCAGGGGGATTCCATCTTTCCACAGCAGCCTCACCAGCCCTGCTCCCTGAGAGAGAACACCCTCCCGCTTTGGGCAAGGCCTTTTATCTCTTCTTCCCAGGCACCACCCTCTACTCCTCTACTGGTATAAGTTTTCCTTTCAAATTCCATGTTAGCCAATCACAGGGTCCGGAGGGTACCTGGGAAATGTAGGCCCTGTAGTCACTCTAATATAGGCTTTCCTGGAGCCACTAGGCCTCCATAGAGCTGCACTGCTACAGGCCCAGGATCATGACAAGACATAACAAAAGACCCCAACCACAATGATCATTTTAGAAATATTACCGAACAGCATACAAAAGTTTAGCCAAACAGCTGCCTTTTGGTATACTGATGACCAAGGGTAATTTCGCAGAAAAAGAGGTGCAGGAGCTCATTAGCATGACTTATTTGCATATGCCACACCCCCTGACATCACCGGAAGTGTGTCAGAAGGCAACACCCACCGCTCAGGCTCCTCTGGACTGTTTTGGATTGCTAGCTATTGAGGGGGGGAACATGCAGATCTGTCCTCGCAGAGGAGGGAGAGCTTGTACCTCAATAAAACTTGGTCTTAAAGGTGCCACTGGACTGTTTTGGACCGGGAGGCCGGGGTGGGGGGCTCTGCAGCTTACCTGGTTGCTTCTTGCTCTGACTGAAGGCTGCTGGGAGCAGGGGGTGGGGCTTGTTGCATGTGCCCACCCCCTGGGCTCTTTACTGCCGGAGCTCCGCTCCTGTGCGCTCCTACAGGAAATTACCCCTGCTGATGACATGTTTTTAAGTTGTAATATCATTGGGGACCAAGTCAAATACTGAACATGATGTCCATGGTAGCTATGGGCAACCACCAGCAGGTTTCCTAGCATCCATTTGCTTCCTCAAAGCAAAGAGCCAGCCTCAACATTCTTCTGCCTCAATGGAATAAGAGGTACTTCAGAAGAATCCAGCAGGCCTAGCCTTTGTGTCTGCAGGGCATCTGTTTAGAAACAGCTGCCTCCATCATAGCAGCCATTTTGTGGTAGTGCCCTCTGTAACGATTCCTTGTTTTAAGAGTGGGTGTGTCTTTTTAAATGTTTGGTTGCAGTGCAGTGAATGCAGAGTAAAGTGATTGAGAGAGAGAGATATGTGCTGTGATTGGAGGATGAGAGAATGTGGGAGCAGCTTTTAAAGTGGATCTGGGTGAGTGTCAGTTAGTCAGTTAGGAGAGATAGTTGAAAAAATGAGTTGAAGTTGTTCAGTGGAAATTCAGTCAGTGAGAGAGGTGAAAGAATCTATGTGGGATCTGAGAAGGATCAGTATATGTGTATTAAAGTGATACAGTTGACAAGCTCATTTATAGGAACCTTATTCCCAACCAGTTACATAATAACCAACCTCTTATTTTGTTCCCCTTTCAATAAATCCCCTCTTATTTAAGTTATTCCCAGAAGTCATATCAATTATTCCTCAGGACCACAGAGACCCTTGAAAGCCTAGACCCTGGGTCACAATACCAACATAAGAAACTGAGAGTGGATTTGGAATTTAGAAAAATCCTGGTGGCAGCCGGGACTACCTATTTTATAAACACCCAGAATAATTTAAAGAGAAACCTAGTCCTCCCCAATAGGAGGTTGTCACACCCTCTCCCAGTTATTAAAATTCCAAAGTCTCGTTGAGCCTGGGGATTCCATATCTAGGATTTCCAGCCACTGTAATCTTATAAGGAATGAAGTGGTCATCTAGTCCAAAACTAATGGAAATTGGTGGTGTGGAGGGTAGCTCACCTAATATTATGGATACTAACTATAAATTGTGGCTGCCAGACCCTTTGGCCATTATGGAGAGTAAAGTGGAGAGACAATGGTGATGGTCAGGGGAGGAGTCAGACACACACTACAGACTAGTTAGAGAAGTGTGGTAGGGACATGATGTGTACCAAAAGCCCACTATTCTAAACAAGGGCAGCAGCCAAGTAACAGTTTGATTTGGCTTGCTTTTTCAGTCAGAAGAGAGGACTTGTGCAGACTTTGAAGAGGATGGACATTACTACTCATCACCCCCCGACAGCAGTCCCTTCACACCGTTCAGGGAGGATGTCACAACTACTTCTTCCCGTTTTGTTGACAGCCTAACCACTGAAGGTAACTGCTAGGGTCAGAGGTTATAATGGTAGGCAGAAGGATAGACCTGATGGTATATCTTATGCCCAAGGAATCCAAGAAGAATACCTCTTATGCCCGAAGAATCCAAGATCTGCAGTTTCATGAATGGTGTAGGTATATCAATCTGAGAATTTTCAGCTCCCTCACAAAACTTAATTTGTTATGGATTCTGGAGGAAAGCTTGTAATCTTTAAACCACAAGACTCCACAGCTTAGAGGGAGCATTAGTTGGAAAATGGGGGGGGGGTATATCATGTGACACAGCAACATCACTTCAGAAGTGCTGTCACAGTCACATGACTCTCTAGGAATTTCTACAATCTCTCTGGTCTTAGAGCATTGCTCGATGCGGTGACATCACTTCCAGGTCTTCGCCGAGAAGTGACATCACTGCATTGCACCCCCAAACCTTCTGCTATTACCAGCAGCCAACCTGACGACTCTATTTGTGTCTGTGACAGTGCTCTGGCCTAGTTTTTGGGTCTTGATTCCCAGTCTGAGAAATTTATTTATTTATTTATTTATTAGATTTGTATCCCGCCCTTCCCAGATGGGCTCAGGGCGGCTTCCAACAGTGGCAAATGCCATAACAAACAGTTAAAACAGTATAAAACAATCAATAAATAAAGTGCGGTGCTCTAGATATTAACTTATCTCTCGAAGATGGGATCCTTTTATCACCTAGCCTGGCAATATAGGTTCTTGGTCACCTAGGCGTCTTCCCAGGGCCGGTTCACTTATAGATCTAATCCACCATCATAGATGGCAACTCGGTGGTGGCACAATGGTGGCAGCGGCTCCTATGCAAAGGCCTGGCGGAAGAGCTCCGTCTTACAGGCCCTGTGCATTTATAAAACTCTTGTTATACGTGAAATACATAGCTCTGAAGGTCTGAAGTAAAACTGGGAGACATAATATGAATAACACAAAATATGACTAACAAGCAACTGTCACACATCTGGGGAGGAGGGCAGTGCTCTCAGGCAGAGCTCTGAGCTCTGTTACCTCTCGTTTTAGAAATTAGTAAAAATCAAGATGCAATGGTGACCACTGTCTCCAATAAATAGGACATTATTGCAATCTAACCTAATTTTCTCCAGCATGAGAAGTACTGTCTTATTCCCCAGGATCTCATGCATAATATGCCTCTGTTAGCACCAACGCTGTATCCCCTCTGAGAATAGTGACAGGTACCAGTTCAATTTTGCTGCTTAATAGTCCCTATCGTGAGCTGCTAATTAAAATAAATAGAAAAGAACATTAGTAATTGCCCTTCAGCAAGCAAGAAGGGAGAGGAAAGAATTCTTTTGTGACAGATTTGACTTTGAAAAGAGCTATTAAAAGATGAGGGAAGCACCCCACTGCAACTGTGATGATTTCCCGATTCATTTTTTTTTAATTTGGGCAGAGAAAAAAGTGGGGATTTTTTCCACTTTTTTTTTTTTTTGACAACATAGTCGAGCATGAAGCTGATTTCTATTCTTGGAAGAAGGCTACAATAACCAGCTGTGCCGGGGCAGGAAAATGTATTTGTAGAAGCAGCAAAGAGTAGAATGGGAAAGACAGAGAAAATGGGGCTCAAGCAACATCTAGTCTGTGTGGACACCGATTATGTTTACTCACTAGACCAGGAATAGATCTTCCCAGTGATTTTTAAGGGCAGCTGGCAGCCATAGGGGCCCCAATTCAGATCAAGGCTGTGTGAAGGAGAGGTGATTTAACCCTTCCCCTGCATGGTTTCTAGGGCTGCTACCTCCAGGTGGTGGCTGGAGATTAGAATTACAATGGACCTTCAGGCTACAAACATCAGTACCCATGGACAAAATGACACCACAAGTTTTGTTAAGGTGCTACTGGACTCTTACTCTTTCTACTGTTGTAAATATTAGATTCCATGTCAAAAATGAAGTCAAATGAGGAGGAAGTTCTTGTATTTTATTGTAATGAAATATGGAAAACAGTTAGGCCAAAGGACCCATCAAAACAGATTGCTTTCTTCTCAGCATAATTAGGAAACATGCCTCAATTAATAGGAAAACAATTAGACCAAATAGTTAACCAGAAATTGACAACTTTCTTCTTTTTCTTCTTCATCTTCTTGAGCATATTCTGAACATATTCAGGAAATACATAAAGTTAAATACTTAAAATGACATCATCATACCATCATCATGGGAATAATATTCAAAAGGCATAATTGGTTACAAAAACTTAAACAACATTTACATAAAAATCTCCTTATTGGTCAAATGTAAGAAAGGTGTGTCTATGCAATAGCGTCACATATTTACTTGACATGACCTAAGGCATATCGGCTAAAGCTTTTTCTTCCCCAAACAAAAGTATTCATTACTGATACGAGACTAAAATCCTATCTGACCCAGACATTGAAAGGTTTGCCCTAAGAACTACAGAATCATGAACTTTGTACCTATTATGTTGTCTGCTAACAATATCAGACCTACAAGAGGAAAGCCTTCTATATAACAGGCCTTTCTAACATCCTAATAAAATATTGCTTAAAGATTGCTGACCTAAGAGTAGCAGTTCTCTTACAAAGGAATTTCAAAGGGAGATTAGAAATAGAGACTGCTGAATAGCAACTGATAATGAAGCCGAGGACAATGCATCCTGGACTGAATTGAGACCTACGTTTCTTCTCTTACTACCAATGCCTGCTATTGTCATTTGGTGTCTGAAACCATTTCACTCTTCGAGATATAAGGACAGATGGACTCACATTCTAACTGTATCTGAAGAAGTGAGCAGTGACTCATAAAAGCTCATACCCTGTTACAAATTTTGTTAGTCGTCCACTAATAAAGATTGCAAGCTGTGCTATTAGGTCTCTCTCTCTCTCTCCCTCTCCCTCTCTCCCTCTTTCTTTCTTCTGTTAGAATTGGAAAGGGGAACCTCTGCAAGTGAAATAATGTGTTGATTTCAGACAAATTTACTTGTGCTAGTGATGATAATGAAACAGTTTAAAAAAGCAAGGTTAATGTGAAGAAAGGCAGCCAGTGAGATGGGAGGGGAGAGAGGGAGACCACATGTTGAACCACAAATGTATTTTTAAATACTTAGCCAACTACTTCCAGTATTGTAATTCCTAATCGGGGTCTTTTTAAAATAAAATAAAATCCCAGATAGACACAGAGAAATCTAATCGAAAAGAAAATAAAACTTTTCAGAATAAGCTCAAATAATTTCCCTTAAATTCCCCTTATCCCAGAAGCATCTATTTCCTGCCCCCCTTCCTTTTTTTAATGTGCCCGTGTGTGATCAGGTCTCAAAGTAAACAGCAGAGCCTTAGTATAAATTGTGGTTGTCAGAACAATCTCCTTTTCTCCCTCCCTCTCTCTGAAGAAGTATGCATGTACACAAAACCTTATACCTAGAATAAAACTTGGTTAGTCTTAAAAGTGCCACGGGACTCCGTCTCTTTCTGGCATGCTTTCTCTTTTTCCTTCCCCCTTCCTCCCTCCCTCCTTCCCGAGGAGGAGATCTCAGCCGATGTAGGGAAGAGAGGCTTGGCAGCACAGCAGCAGCACCGGAGGACGAAGGAGGAGAGAGTGACTGAGGAAGCTTTTCTCTGGTGCACACATGTGTGCACTCTCCTTCCCTCCCCCCCCCTCTACCTTCCCAAAGGACGAAGCAGGAGAGCGATTGAGGAAGCTTTTCTCTGGTGCACATATGCATGCTCTCTTTCCTTCCCTTCTCCCTTCCTCCCAAAAGGATAAAGCAGGAGACAGCAATTGAGGACGCTTTTCTCTGGTGCACACACACATGCTCTCTCTTTTTTTCCCTCCTCCCTTCCTCCCCAAAAGACAAAGCAGGAGATCTCAACCACTGGAAGAAAGAGATGCTTAGCAATGCAGCAGCAGCAGCCCTGGAGAAGGAAGCAGGAGCGAGCCAGTTGCTCACAGGCTGGATACCAGCCCTGCAGGGGCCAGTTCCAGCCTGTGGGACGTATGTTTGACACCCCCCTGCTGTACATACTCAGAGGCACACTCCAAGAACTACTGTGGTCTAACACCATCTGCCATGGCAAGTGGTTGAATCGGCTGTGCGACTCAGCTGAAGAGTTATGGGGGAGCCACTGGTCGCAACCTAGGGTTGCCAAACTCTAAGTGGCCCTGGAGATCTGCTATTACAGTTGATCTCCAGACAACCAAGGATCAGTTCCCCTGGAAAAAATGGCTGCTTTGGAGGGTGGACTCTATGGCATTGTACCCTGTTGAGGATTCTCCCCAAACTCTGCCCTCCCTGGGCACCACTCCCAAAATCTCCAGGTATTTCCCAACCCAGAGCTGGCAACCCTATCCCAGCCTCTTCCAGGAGGGGAGACTTCAGTCCCATGTCCTGCTGGGACTTAAGGCCTGGCACCTTCCTCCTCTGTGCAGTGAGAATAGGGAAGGCTCCAGGCTGCCAGGCATGCATTCCTCCACCTGGTCCAGGCTCCAGCTCTGGCTCTCTGCCTCCTTTTTTCCAGGGGGGAGGGTGGACTGAGGAGACTGGTGGTGGAAGGTACCACTTGGGAGGCCTGAAGCTCTGGCTCTTAGATGGAGCTGGTTATCACAGACAAGGCAGAAGGTCTTCTCCTGGATATTCTAGGTTGCAAGGAGTCCAGGGTATAATGACGACTGGAGGGGGCTTCTCTCCCCTCATAGGGGTCTCTCTCTTCTGAGTCATCTTCCAACAGCCCAGGGGACACCCTAACAGGAAAATGTACACAGGGCTGATGTATCACTCCATAAGAATTCCACAGACAAACCATAATATGTGAAGAAATATCTGAGGGCTTTTTGTGGCGCTTGTGTTAAATTACGGTGACATTGCCACGGATGTCCGCGCCCACCCCTCTGGGGGACTGGGCACGAAAATTCGTTAAAAGAGCTTGCTAAGGCACTAGATCCCATGGGTGTGAATGCACAGATGACCACTTGAAGATCACCAGTTACAGGTAAGCAACCTGTTTTTCCACTCCTCAGTTCCCTGGGGGCAGGAAATTGGGGGTTGAGATGGGTAATTCCCCACCCCAGGCTGGTAAATAGGAGGCCAGGTCTACTCCTGGGAATATGGCCTTTTGTTGATAGAGGGTGAGTAGATGAGTAGAACAGATTCTTTATTTTATTTTAATGGAATTTTTACAGAAACTACAGTCACATTGAAAAACAAGATCAAGAAACAAACATAGCACTGTCTAAACACATATGTTATACATTCAAAATCAAGTGTAAATATTTCTAGTGATGGTACATCTGTACTTAGTAAATTGGACGTAAATAATAATAAAATCAAATGATCGAACCAAATGAGGAACTAGCATGTTGATTACAATCGATCAACAGCAGTCAGGCTCTGCCTCCTGACATCTGCAAGTGTAAAAAAGAGATTAAGAGAAAGAGAAAGATTAGAACATAACAACATAAGAGAAGCCGATGCTGGATCAGGCCAATGGCCCATCCAGTCCAACACTCTGTCACACAGTGGCCAAAAACACCAGGCGTGATCAGGAGGTCCACCAGTGGGGCCAGGACACCAGAAGCCCTCCCACTATTGCCCCTCTCTGCAAGCACCAAGAATACAGAACATCACTTGCCCCAGACCGAGAGTTCCAATCTATATCTTGTGGCAAATAGCCACTGATGGACCTCTGCTCCATATGTTTGTCCAATTCCCTCTTGATTCCTCCATGCTTGTAGCCGCCACCACTTCCTGCGGCAGTGAATTCCACGTGTTAATCACTCTTTGGATGAACAAGTACTTTTATCTGTTCTAAGCCTACTGCTCATTAATTTCATTGAGTGCCCACAAGTTCTTGTGTTGTGAGAAAGGTAACTTTCTTTCTCTACCTGTTCTATCCCATGCATAATCTTGTAAACCTCTATCGTGTCACGCCTCAGTCGTCATTTCTCCAAGCTAAAGCGCCCCAAGCACTTGTACCTTTCTTCATAGGGAAAGTGTTCCAACCCTTTTATCATTCTAGTTGCCCTTTTCTGCACTTTTTCCAATGCTATAATATCCTTTCTGAGGTGTGGTGACCAGAATTGCACACAGTATTCCAAATGAGGTCACACCATCGATTTATACAGGGGCACTATGATATTGGCTGATTTGTTTTCAATTCCCTTCCTAACAATCCCCAGCATAGCGTTGGCCTTTTTTACTGCAGTTGCACACTGTTTCGACATTTTCATTGAGCTATCTACTATGACTCCAAGATTTCTCTCTTGGTCAGTCTCTGCCAGTTCAGACCCCATCAACGTGTATTTATAGTTAGGATTTTTGGCCCCAATGTGCATCACTTTGCACTTGGCCACATTGAACCTCATTTGCCACATTGAAGTTCCTGATGGATGGGGTTAGGGGGTAGAATATCTTTTTCGAAGAATTCGAAGAAGGGGAACCACTTTTCCATGAAAATTAGTTATCTTGGATAAATTTACATTTGTAGTAAATTGTCAGAGATTTCCCCCATGATTAGTTGTGCCCATATTTTTGTATACCAATTCGAGAGCGTTGGAGCTTTTGGAAATTTCCAACTTTGAGCAGTTGCATTAGAAATAACAGGATGCTGCAATGTGAACGAACATAGTAGGGGGGCTGTGATTTTGAAACTGAAAAAAATATGTATTTGTGCACCAGCTGTGAAGATATCCTGGGAGCTTAGACTAGGCCATGGAGACATTTACAGATGCTACTGATATTCCTGTTATTTGGATCTCATCTGTGTCTTCTACCGGAATGAATGAGCCCAAAGGATTTCTGCCAGAAGTGCTTAAGTGTCAAAGGAGACAGAACTCTTCCTCTCTCTGACTAATTCCTTCCAGGGGAGGAAACGGTGGTAAACCAGGAGTGGATTTATCGGCTACCCCCTGGAATGACTTCTGCAAATGAAAACATGGTGCTTTTTTTGGTAAAATTAACAGTGTAAGCAGATCAGCAGAGGAACGGATGACCCAGATTGAAATCAAGTCTTCAAAGACACATGGCCTAAATATTTGTGTGCACATGTATGAGAGAGAGAAAGAGAAATATTAATCTACATTTGTATCTTTGGAAATAAGCTTTTTGTGAAAACACAAAAAACAAACCTACAGTACTAATCAAGATGGGTAGCTGTGTTTGTCTGTACCAATAGGAAAGAGCATGAGTCCAGTAGCACCTTGAAGACTAACACAAGTTGTGACAGGGTATGAGCCACACTACTCTCTAAGTGTGATTTACAGTTCAATCCTAAACAGAGTTGCACCTAGGGTTGTCAGCTCTGGGTTGGGAAAAACATAGGGTTGCCAGGTACATCCTGGCAACTGGCAAGGGGTGGGGAGGAGACTTACCAGGAGTGGGAGGTCCAGCCAACGTTGCAGTGATGTGTCTACATCATTTCCAGTGCAACCTGGAAGTGACATCATGCTGCACATCATGATCCAATGCAACCTGGAAGTGAAATACCAGAGCATCATCGTTGGGGTGATGCTCTGGTATTTGGGCAAAAACTCTATGGTAAATTTGACTTCTACCATAAAGTTTTTGCCCAACTACCAGAGCATTACCCTGATGCCACCGACATGATGATATCACATCTGGGTCACATAGGAAGTGACATCATCACACCAGTGCCATCTGAGCAATGTCTTGTATTTAGGCCAAAACTCTATGGTAAAAGTGTGCTTTACCATAGAGTTTTTGCTCAAATACCAGAGTGTCACAGTGACATTGGAGTGTGAGGACATCACTTCCTGTGTGATGCTGGTGAGGAGGCCTGGACTTTTCTCTTTCTGCTGGTAAGTCCCCCCATCCCCCACTGGTTGCCAGGAGGGACCTGGTAACCTTATGTAATTCTAGGAGATATCCAGGCCTGACTTGGGGATTGGCGATCCTAGCTGTGCCCTTTTAAGCCTATTGACTTCAGTGGGTTTAGGAAAGTATAGCTCTTTTTAAGATTGCACTGATATATGGCAAAATTGTGGGATGTGAAAGTTTATTTGAAATATCAACATGTATTGTCCCATTATTTTCATGATAATAGTTGGGTGTCAGAGTCTACCTGCATTATTACTGGTAGATGAATTATCCCTGTACCTTACTAGCAAGTTTGGCCAGTAATAACTTTTATGTACACTCACACAGATGCAGATTTTTGTGTGTCTTAAGGACAAAGTCTGTAGACCTATGGACAGTTTATGGGGAGTAAGTCCAACAGAATAAGATGGGACTTCAAAGCAGACCTGCTTAAGATTGCTCCCATAACCTCCATGTGGAGCAGTAAATTCAGTGAAATAACTCCCACCCCCTGCATAGTTTTCATGCAGGAAAATGGCTTGGGGGGTGGCAGGAGCCCTTCCTTCCCCCACAGCACTGTTTTTGAGCTCTCCTCTTTTTCTTTTTTAGAAGCTGTTTCCTGTAGCTGCTGTGTGGCTGCGGGGAACCCAGACCTAACTCTTTAAAAACAGTGACATGTAGTCTTGCCCTGAATAACAGTTTACTAAAGGAACCCCATTGCTGATTTTTGCTTTTCTCTCTTTCTGATAGATGACACAAAGTTAAACCAGAATGCAGAAGGAGAAGGTAAGAGTCTAATCGGCTCATGATCCAGGTTTTTTGAGATGTATATGCTAGAAGATGTGTATGTCCTGGAATTTGCTGTCTCAGTGCTCTCATGTCTTAAAATTCCTGTTTATGAATGCCAGGTCTATGGCTAATAAAAAACACTCTTGTTGGCTGGGTTGCCAGCCACAGATGACAACCCACTGGGAGAATTTCTGGGGCAGAAAAAGGCTCATAATGTCACTTCCTGTGAAAACAGGATGCAATGTCATGACACTGCAATCAGCACTCTAGGATTTGCTCAAAACTTTATAGTTCAACCATAGAGTTTTGGATGAGCCCTAGAGCATTGTCCCTGATGTCATGACATCCCTTGTGGGTTTTTTGACAGAAGTGACATTGCCTGCCAGCATGCCCCCCAATTATCTCCCATTTCCCCCCACCAGCCTTGAAATGCTAGAGGGAGGATAGGTCCAGGGGGAGCTGCCAGCAGGAGATCTCCCACTATAGTGGGAGAATTGCCCCCCCCCCTTTTGGTGATATAATGTGGGACGAGGCTGCCAGAACTGGGGCTGGGGACACTTCCTGGGGCTGCTGCTCACCCTGGCAGACCCCAGTGCTTTGGGTGAGCGGGGGGGGGGTAACAGGGCTGGTTGCTCCCCTCCATCTCTCACACCCTAGGCAATTGCCTAGGTACACCTAGAGGATGGCTGGCCTGTCTTTTGAAAGGGGAGCAGGCAGAGATTTCCATGGTTTACACTGATTCCATCAACCACGTTTCAGCTATTAAGTTGACTGGGGTCTTTTCCCTTAGGAAGGGATGTAGCAGGTCTGGCATTGTGGCTTGAGCTGCACAAAGAGCCAGTAGGGCTCTTGTGGCGATGGGGACAGCACTGTCATTTCTCAGACAACCTGTCCGTCCCTTGCCACCTGTCCCGCTCTCCCCCCCTCTCCAGTCACAGTCAGAGAGGGACTTGGCTATCTTCTAATTGCACTTAGAACCAATGTTCCCTCTAAGCTGTGGAGTCTTGTGAGCAAAAACTTTACTTTGTGAGCTACTGCCATTTGGCTACTGCATAAATTAGTTTGCTCTGGAGCCACCCTTCCTGAGCTAAGACAAAAATGTGTGAGCCGGAGGCCAAAAAACTGTGAGCTAGCTCACACTAACTCAGCTTAGAGGGAACCCTGCTTAGAACCTCCTCTTCTGATATTTGAGCTACTGTAAGTTGCTTTGGCAAACCAGGCCTCTTAAGAGAGGGGGTGAGGTGCGGGTGCTTTTCTTCTAATCACGCTCAGCTGGGAGGACCATTAATTACCCGGATTTTTGAAGCCGCATTCTTTCTGAAAGGGTGACAAAATGTTCCTGTTGTTGGCTGGAATGCCTTTTGAAGTTTGTGAGAGTTTCCTTTAAATAAACATTGTTGAACTTTGATATATACGAGGTGATCCTTCCCCCCTCCTTTTTCCAATGTGCAGAACCTGAGCATGAGACTGTAGGTCCATACATCCTCCTCCTCCCATTCCTAGTCATAATTAGAGGGACTCCATAAAACAGGTTTTCTTAATCCCACAAAACCCCTTGGAGCAGATATTCTTAACTATAAATGTCGAGTTGTTTCAATCCCATCCCAACCAACGAGACTGGAGCCTATAAGTAAGATCTCACAGATATCACTGCTCCAAAGAAATTAACATTTTTTTAAATTAGTCAATTCACAAATCTGGAAAGTTGGAGCAAACACACAAGCTCATATATCTAAAGTCCCTGCTGCAAAACACAGCTACCCATGATTACCATATTCCCTCAATATGCCACTCGACGGCCTGAATATAATCCGATTCCTCTGAATTTCTATGCATGGAACAGAAATGGTGAGTGTTTCTGAATGGCTTTTTTACATCCCCCTAAAGCAAACTCCTCATACTCAGCCATCTCTCTAAAGGCCCTTTCTCGCTCAATGGTGGTTTATGACTGTTTGATCCAACCTAAAGGCATTATGAGCCATGGGTTCTGAAATGGTGTCGCAGCTACTAGGCTGAAGACCTTTGCTCATATATGCCTGTACACAGGGGTCATTTCGTAGAAAAAGAGCTAGGGGAACTCATTCGCATAACTCATTAGCATATGCCACACCCCCTGACATCAGGGGCCCGGCGGTGGACCTGCAAGGCCAGCGGGAGTGCGAGGAAGCCCCGCCAAGGCCCTCCCTGGCCCCAGGCAGGCAGGGGTGGGGAGAGGCGGGGAGGAAGCAACTTACCCTCCCTCTTCTCCTGCCTCCTCCTGGCTGCATGAGGGCTGGAAGCGGGGCGGCCGGAAGCAGGGGGCGGGGCTTCGTCATGTGCCCCACCCCCCTGCACCTCACCCGGGGGAACTGTGTTCCCCCGCATTCCCCCCAGAAATGACCTCTGCCTGTACAGAGTTTATCTCACCGACCCTGTTGTCTTCTCTCCTAACCCCCTTCCTTTTTGTCTTGTTACTATTGTTGTATCTGACGAAAATACTGATGAAAATTCTCCTTCTTGCTTCCTCTCCCCCATGGAAATTTCTCCTGCAGGTTTGGGAAACGATGACCTCCCCACAGAGAAAGTGGGGTCCCAGATCCACACAGGAACAATTGTGGGGATTGTGCTGGCAGTCTTGCTCATTGCCGCCATCATCTTGGCTGGCATCTACATCAGCCTAAGTTTCAATCCTACCTCCAGTGCGCCTTGGTTCTTCTTTGAGGTGATTTTGAGACTCGGTTCAATCCTTGCGGCAAGTCTGTCTGAAAACGTGGTGACCAAAATTCACCTATTGAAACCCAGCCAAAGCTTTCCCTGCTCTAAGATGGGACACTTTGAAATAGTAAACTTGAATCAGGGTTTAACTTAGGGTTGCTAACCTCCAGGTGAGGCCTGGAGAACTCCCAGAACTACGGCTAATCTCCAGACTACAGAGATCAGTTGCCCAGGAGAAAATGGCTGCTTTGGAGGGTGGACTCTGTGGCATTATGCCCTGGTGAGATTAGGGCTGCCAAACTCCCTGCCACTTTGAGCCATGGGCAGAATAAATTTTTTTAAAAATGGTAACATCATTTGTTGTGCTTACATCACTGGCTGTAAAAACCCAGAAGTGACACAGGGTAGCTGTAGAAATCACTGGAAACTCTGTGGTGGGGTTTCCTAGAGCTACCCTGTGTCATGGGTTTTTACTGGAAGTGACATCGCACCACAGCTGGCGTCGCACCCCCTCTGCTCCTGCCTGCAACCATCTTGCTGCTTGGAGTTTCCCAGCCCAGTGTTGGCAACTCTAGTTTAAACACTAGGGGGAAGAAAGTGCAACCTCTACTGTTTTCCTTTTAAAATCTGGATTGAGGCCTGCACAGCCGCCACTGCTCATTAAAAAATCGCTCGGAAGATCCAATCTTTCTCTGTCCCCTGGTTTTTACCTCTTTCCCCTTCAGTGGCATCATTGCCAATTTGAGCCCCTGTGGATACAGTTCTGGAAATTAAATTCTGAACATCTGGTTCAGTACCTGCTCTGTGCAGAACATCGATTATTCACCTTGCATTTTCAGCACACCATTTAGGCCCCAACAGAGACAGCTCAGAGAGTACTGAAGCAAACCCAGAACTCCCGCACCAGAAATACATTTTTGCAGATCTATCCAAAATAAAGGAAATACGTTTTTGAAGGACAAATTTCTGGGGATATAAGAAAGAAAAAAAACCCCTCTCCCTTTCACAGAGGTATTTTGCTCTGTTCGGGAACTTGAGGTGAAGAGGAATATCCATCCACATGACATCGTCCTCCAATCATTTGCTTCCCCTGCTTTCATCCAACCTGCCGGGTACAATATTTTCAGAAAGTCTGCAGTCAAAGTGGGTTTTCAGGATGTGGTCACACAGCAAGCTTACAGCGATTTGTTCCCGCTGTAGATTTGATCAGGAAAATTAACTGGCGACATACAACTGAGCACTGGAGTCTATATGTGCACTTGAACGTTTATACATTGAATTTATTCAGCGCAGGATTGCTCATGGGCACAATGATGGAAGCTTGTAAAAAAAAGAAAACATTGCGAGGAGGACGTTCGGATGACCTAATTGCGAGAGATGGCCGTCCAGATCAGTGAAATCGCTGATTCAAAGTGCAAATATCCGGAAAGTACTTGATTTTCCGGTTGTAGGAAAACTCGCTAGGGAACCAGGAGAATTGCATGAGTGAGCCCACTTCAATGCAGGAGATGGATGCAGCCGTCTGATCAGCAATTTTAAATGTGAGAGGGAACAGCAGTGAAACCCGATCAAAACGGCCGTGTGACCACTCAGTTCGGAAGGCTCAAAAGCCACATTGGCACCATTTCCCCTCCCCCTATACACAATGGGGAATTGCCCTCTACGTGGAAGCAGCCCCAGCTATAAGAAAAAATCTACACATTGAATGGAATTTACTTTCACTGAATGACCCCAGTGATGCATACAGAGGTTTCCTGAACTGGTCAAGCCATCCTATTCTTTCTCAATGGAGGGGGCAGTTTTGTGCAGCCCACAGGATCTGTGCATGCAGCCGTCCCCTCCGTTGAAATGAATGGGGCAGCCCTTCTGAGCAAGAGAGCTCTGTATATCACAACAGAGTTGTTTTTTGTCTGTAAGGAATTACTGAATAGCTTGAGAGCGCGCAGCAACAGGTATATGTCTGGGTAAAGGCTTTCTCCTTGTACTAACGTGCTGCTCTCTTTTTCTCAAACTGCAGCGAAGGCCGCATCAGTGGCCCGCCATGAAGTTCAGAAACCACACAACGTATACTGAAGTGGAGCCAGCTGGTCACGAGAAGGAGGGTTTTGTCGAAGCCGATCAATGCTGAGAGCAGCACTCCAGTTTCATTTCTCCCACACCTTTAAAACTTCAAGGGTCTCCCCAAGTCACAGTGTCTCCTGTTTATTTCATTATGAACTGGAACTGCAGGAACAGTTAAAAGGGGAATGAAAAAAAAGAAAATATGATTGAAAATGAAAGCCCCCTCCCCCCCGAAACTGAAATGGAAACATGAAAATCACAGAAGCAAGGGGGAAAACTACAAGAGAATCAGGACTTTATACTGCGGTGTAACATGTGTCGCCATCTTCAGCTGGTTACAGTGCCAGTAAAAAGCGGCCTCTGTCCTGTCTGCTTTTTGTAGGCCCTGTAATTGGAAGTTATGGGTGACCAGAAAGGCGTGTTTGCACATTTACCTCAGTTCATTTTGACTAACACTACACTTTAGCAAAAGCTCCCAAAATGGCAGGAAAACAAGTATGTTAAGGTATCCAAAGGAAACGTTGGGTGAGGGGAAAATTCAGGCTTCTAGCTGGGAGATAGAAGTTTACTTTCTAAACACCCCCTGAGACATAATGTTGGAGTTTATGGACAAGTATTATGGGGTGGCTGGTCTGATTTGCACAGTTTGAATATCTCAGCGTTTTCACAGACTTTTCAGATGCAGCACCTGCCATCTGTGGGCTGAGGGGAACTTAAGCTGGGTCTGAAATGCCACCTTCATATTTATCTGTAATGGTGGTATAAATTCAAGCCAGGAGAAGGAAAACATTAATTAAGGTGGCCTTGCTGTTGACAGTAATCGCCTATCGTTGACAGCTAAACCAGCCAACGGATAAAATATGTACCAAACATAACATCAGACCCCTAAAAAACAACACCACAATGGCTCAACATATTTCGGCTTTGACTTTACTAACTCCACCTCACAATGGATGCTTGGATTATGTCTGCTTTTTTAAAAAAGAATATAATTGAGAGCCAATTCTAGTCATTGGTTTCAGTGGCAGGACAAAATGGAAGACCTTATTGCTGGGAAGCAGAAAGGTTTAGTTTATTTTTAATGGAAGGAAGGTTATCTTTGTGTTGATGAATTAATCAAGGAGCTGGATTAACCACCTTTCTCCATTCTGATGCCATTAACACACACCTTTAAATTGGGAATCACAACACAATCTAGAATCAAGGAATTCTCATGGCAGGTCTAGATGTTAAGTTTTGTTTAAAGCCTCGAACGTTGTACAGTTCTCTCGGTTTCCATTCTCTCTCCAGTACTTTACATTTCACCACATGTATGAAGAGCAGGGCTATTTTTGGGCAGGAACGCACAGGAAACGGAGTTCCGGCTGGCTCCTGAGTTGGCCACGCCCAGCAGGAACTCATTAGCATAATAGGCCACACCCAATAGCAGGAATCCATTAGGATTGGCTTCATTAGGGGGGTGTGGCCTACAAAAAAAGCCCTGGGTTTTGACAACAAACAAGGTAAACAGAATAACAAGCAAAAGGTGGGTGTGGCTGGATAACCACACTTCTGATAACATAGGGGTGCATCCTAATGTGCTAATGAGCTGTGCTGGCAGGGGTGTGGCCTAATATGCTAATGGGTTTCTGGTGTTGGGTGTGGCCTAATATGCTAATGAGTTCCTGCTGGGCTTTTTCTACAAAAAGAGCCTTGATGAAGAGAACACTGTACAGATGATCCTCCTGATACACGTAATTGCCATTTTGTCTGAAAGGGTACTATACATACTTTTAGTCTTAGAACAAGCATCCCTAGGGATGCCAGCCTCCAGGTAGTGGGTGGAGATCTCCCGCTATGACAACTGATATCCAGGTGACTGAGATATGTTCACTTGGAGAAAATGGTCCCTTTGGAAGTTTAACTCTATGGCATTAGGCCCCAAACCCCGCTCTCCTGAGGCTCCACCCCCTTAATCTCCAGGTATTTCCCAACATGGACCTGGCAACCTGAAGCATACCAGCAATTGCAGGTATCAGGAGAGTTACAACGTCATGCGGTCTCCCCAAACGCATGGTGAAACATAACTGAAAAGAGCTTCTATCTCTTCCTCGCTCCCTCACATTCATGATGAGCTGCTCACATCTTCCTGTTTGGTAATATGGCAAAATGTACCTGCAAAATGTAGATCGACATCCCTGTAAGTGTCGTGGAACTATTTTTCATTCATTTCTGGATTCCCATCATACAAGTATCCCCCTGTCTGACAGGGCTTAACTGACAATCCCATTTTCCCATTGGAGGAAAGCTCCTCAGGTTGGAAGAAGACTTCAAAGTTGATGGCACAGATTGGTAGCAGGCAAGCCATGGTTAACCTTTCTAACTGAGCCACCAAAAAAAAGCACGTTCCTGGGCCAGTAGTGCATACTTCCCAAAAGCCAGTCCTTAAATATGGACCTGCCTCCAACCCCTATCTGCAGGTAATATTTAGTTTAGTTAAATATTAAGTTAAAACTTTCCGTTTCCTTCCCATGCTCCATATCTGAGCTGCCATTTTCAGGACACAGGAACACACTTGAGTGCGTTGATGTCCCAACATGTGTCTGCTCTAACTGAACAAGAAGGTGCGAGTCAGTGGCAGCTGCACACTGAAAGTTATATAAAATCATTGAAATCTTTATATTATCTCAGGCTGAACTGAGAAGTTGAACAAAATAAATAGCAAGTGTATACAAGGCATACCACCGCAGCAGGGCTGTCTTGGTTGGGAGGGGGGGAATACAAGAGGAGTTAACTTTTGACGATTTATATGGATGCTTCTACACTTATATATGTCTCATTCTCAATCCAGGCTGAGCCTGTCTGCTCCAAAGTTTTCTTCAGGAGCAAATTATATTGTGTACAGTACAGAATTGATTTTGCATTTATTATATAGATATTATAAGACATGTAGATAACAGAGCTTTTTATCAAGGATTCAGACCTTTGTTGCTGAGCTGGTTTCTTTTAGAAAAGGGGGGGGGGAGACAACACAACTTCCCACCCTGATGGATTTTTCTAAGGACAGTGTACATTTACAATGCCGTCTTAAGCATAGTCAACACCCTTCAAAGTTAGTTGAAGTCAATTAACTTGGAAGGCTATCACTCTCCTTAGTACTGCCCTGTTAGAGAGCCACCGATGTGCAGTAAGTAGTGTCAGGCTAGCTAGATTTGAGTCCAATAGCAGTGTCAGGCTAGGATCACAAAGATCTGGGTGCAAATCCTGCCCCCCCTCCATAAAGCTCACTGGGTTACCCTTGGGCCTAGTCATTCTCTCTCTCCACTTAACCTACCTCACAGTGTTGTTGTGAGAATAAAAGGGAAGACCAACACATGCTACCCTGAGCTCCTTGGAGAATAGGATTAAAATGTAAGATTTATCACTAGTGGATGAGGGTTCGTTTTTTTGTTTTGTTTTTTAAATCCCTAAAAATTATGGTGGGGTAACATTTGTTTACCAGCCACTGCTATGCAAGTGTGGTCAACAGACAAATTTAAAGAGAGTGATGCAAAACAAAAGAGTTCTTCCACTCTGCAACAATCTATTAATACAAGCTCTTGTTCAAGCACTTTACAGAAAAGTCTAAAGGTGCTCTATGCTGATTCCATGAAGTCCACTGGTCTTTGTCCCCTCCTGTAATGCAATTATTGAAGGTAGGTGGCTGGTTAAGGAAATGTCTGAAAACACCTAGGATTTAGATGTCTTGACCATATCTGATCTTGTGAAAGAACCTGTTGAGGAACTCCCTGAATCAATGACCCACTTACTTAATCCCCATAGGAAGCAGGGTCTGAGTTCCAAACTAATTACCTCTTGTAACAATCAAGGCCTAATTTCTGTCAACATACTTGAATCTGCAATATAATTCAATTTTGGGGGTGGGGCGGGAAAGCTTGAAGCAATGCATTTAGTGTGGAATGTCTGCATGTAATACAGTGTTGACACTAATATATACTATAAAGTATTAATTACTTGCTCTTTTGAGGACTGCTTTGGTTTTCAGAATAAAAAAAAGGCAAAGACTGATTTGTGTTAAATGACAGCTTTCGTACTTAAGAAAAACGGCAGCCTGATGGTGGAAGAATGTGTGTACCCATTGCACGCATCATCTGGATTCCATTTACAGCCCATGACTTCAGTGCTGATCTGTTAGATCGCGCTAACAAAGGACTCGTACAGTGATTCAGCAAGTGATTCAGCTTTATTGGAAGTAACGAACAAGCACTAACTCAGTGAGAAACCAGAACAGAAAACAGTGGGAGCTTATGCTCCTTTTAAACATAACCGGGCTAATGTAGCCACGCCTATTTACAAATAACAACCAATGAGATTGCTAGAATAAAGACCAATGGGAGTCTTTCCCTCCTAGGGAATGGTATTGTTCTGATTGGTCGCTGTTACGAAGCGACCAATAGGAAGTTCGCTCAGAGGAGCCCTGGTCTGGCTCGAAGCTTAACATGGGAGTCCTATGAGGTGATTCATGTAATCATTTCAATACATTACAGATCCTTTGCCTCTCTCTACCTGTCCCGATTTCTGATGGCAACTTGGAAGCAACTCAGGCCATGCAACCCCAAATAAGTGCAAGCTTCTTCAGTGAACATGCTCTGCTCTGTTTCCTGCATTCCTCATTTCTCATTTTTTGGTATTGGTGTGTGTGTGTGTGTGCCTGTGGCTGGAAGTCATGGCAACCTCTGACGACTCACATTCAGAGAACTGGCCTGATAGCCTGCCTCTTGCCTCCTGGCCCTGGTATTCTCTGGAGGGTCTCCCATCCAAATACTTGTCAGTGTCAGCCCTGCTTCGTTTCCAAGATCTGACGAGACTGTGCTTGCCTGGGCTTCCTGCATTCCTCATTTGGTGTACGAACACTGCCTTAAGGGCACAGGGACTTCTTGCAAAGCTGTACCGATAGCAACTTTCCTCCATTAAAAACAAACAATGGGATAGGGAATGGATTTTACAAATATATAGATTTGCTTTTTAATTTTGTTTTTGCGTTTCTTTGACATTTCAGCTCCTGATTATTTCAGGTCACATGTTTAAACAGCAAAGGGTTCTGTTGTCCTGTGCCTGGGAACAGAGAATAGCTTAAGGAAAGCACTATATGAGCACACAGAGACTTCTACCTGCAAACACCACCGAGTAGCTGTAAAGCAGGGCGGGGAGGGCAATTTCAATTCAAACATGGAAACAGAAGGACAAGGATGCTGAACTATCCTTCCATTCCCTTCCTGCTTTCTCTGCTTCCCTTCTGCAAAAGCTGTTTATCTGCTTGATGGGTTGATTTCTGATCTCACAGCTCAGCTACCTGACAGGCACCTGGGGGACAGAAATGTGGTGAAGAGGAAGAC